ATGAAGTCAGCATCCCCATAAATCTCGTCTGCAGAAGAAAGCATGAAGTGCTGCAAAATCTCCTGGTAGACGGTTGTGTTGATCCTGGTCTTAATGAAGCACAGTGGTCCAAAATCCTGCAAAGTCCTCTTTTCTGATGAGAGCAACTTTTGCATCTCATTTGGAAACCAAGGACCCTGAGTATGGAGGAAGAATGGAGAGGCCAATCAAGCACAATAATCCCACGGTCATTGAACCAGTTTTTGCTGCTTTTGGCAAAAGTTGCTCTCTTCTGAAAAGAGGACTTTGGACCAAGAAGCAACAGGACTTTGAACCACTGTGCTTCATTAAGACCAGGGTCAACGCAGCCATCTACCAGGAGATTTTGCAGCACTTCATGCTTCCGTCTGCAGATGAGATTTATGGGTGATACAACTTAATATCATAAAACAGTTTTATTTCTGCACTTTGTTATAAGCACATAAGTATTACATCACTATCACTAAAGCTGATACATTGTGCAGGCACCTCAGAGCTCTTCAGTTAGCCCACCAGCTGGATCTATCAGAGGTAGGACTGTAATGTGTGCCATGTTGTCTCTTTTTGAACTAAGCAAACTTGTTAGCTAGAGCTGGCAAAGTGGAGCAGGTCTGGCCCTCCATTCTTTACTAAGCAAAACGTAGAAGAAAACATTGCAGGAAAAGGCTCTTATCCTAGCCACTGATGTTCTCCCTGGGAATACTCAGAAGCTCCTTGGAAGGCTAATGTTGGATTTAGTATCTGGGGTTGCCTGTTACAAATGGAGAATCTTTGCCACTGAACAGAATAATAGAATAGAATAGTGAATAGAGTGGAGTGGAATAGAATAGAATAGAATGGAATGAGTTGGAATGGACCTTGGAGGTCTTCTAATTGAAACTCCTGCTTTGGCAGAAAACCCTATACCAGGGATGTCAAACTCAATTTCACTAAGTGCCACATCAGGGTTGTGTTTGTCTTTGGGGGGGGGGGCGGGTTGGATGTAGCCAGCTCAACATCACTCGTGTCGGAGGCGCCTGTGGTGGCCTGAGCACTCTGCCAGTGAAAACAGGCTCCCAAGCTCCGTTTTCAGCTACAACAAACTCCTGCAACCCTCTGCCAGCGAAAAAGGAGCTTGGGAGCCCATTTTTGCTGGCAGAGTGCTCGGACTCCCACAGGTGCCCCGACACAAGTGATGTCAAGGTGACCACACCCACCCTGGCCACACCCACCCCAGCCCCCCAGGGTCAAATGCACGTGGCCCTCCCGAGCTCCGCTTTTGCTGACAGAGGCACCATGGGCCAGTCCTTTGCTGTTTCCAGAGTGACCAGATCTAAGCACCCCACAGACCAGATCTATCACCAGGGTCTTGAGTTTGGCACCCCTGCCCTATACCATTTCAGACAAATGGTTGTCCAATTTCCTCTTTAAAACTTACAGTGTTGGAGCACCCACAATTTCTGCTAAACTTTTCTTAGTAGTCCTGAGTTGAAACCCCAATTTAGAGGTAGATAGATCATCTTCCTCTACCCTCTTTCTTACTGGATTCGGCTATGGCTGTCTGACCAAGGGATCATCTGAGATTCCTCTTTGGACTTTTGAAAGAGCATGAGCAATTTTGGGGCGGGGCAAGAAAGGCAAGGCTTGATTCGTTAATCCTGAGTCCCTGAGTGGACTTTGCTGCTGCCAACCAGATGTATCTCTTTCAAACTTCCTTGTGGAGGAAAGTCTGTTCTTTTCTTCCTTCCCCTCTTCTGTTGTGAAGAGGAAGAGGACACAGGGCAGAATGTGCAAGAGACACTCCCTGAAGGAGAAGACTCCCATTTCCTTTTAGCTTACCAGGCCATAGAACTGCTTGTGCCGCCCTATTGCTGGGCAAGAATTGGCCCAGGTGCAGTAACCGTCCTTCTGGATGGCTTCATCTTGAAGATGGCATGAAGGTAGGAAGGAATGTTCCATTGCCTGGTAATGGAAGAGGAGAGGGGAGCAGACTGATGTCTCTTTCCTTAGAAATAAAGGAGATGGAGTACTGATAGTTGCATTAGACTAGAATTGAGGGAGACTACTGTTTAAGCCCGCCTTTAGCCACTGAAAGTTACTGGATGATTGTGAATCAGACATTCTTTCTCAGCCAATAATCTCACAGAAATGAAGAGATATCTTCAATTCGTTCTTCATTGTTGAGCGAATGAATGATTTTAGACCCCCGGGCACTGAGTGAAATCCATATTTTGAGCCTCCCAGAAGGAAAGACAAATGTGTTAGTTGCTACAATATAATCTGGATTTGGTAATCCAGAGCAAGCATGTTGCTATGGAAGACAGCTTCAATCAGATACAACTGAATTTGCTACAGTGCTGCACCAGCCCAAGCCTAATTTCTGGACACCATAACAAAGACAATTCTTGAAAAGGTTTAGGCCTATTCTCACTCGCTCCACAGCAGGTAAGACTAGAATTAATAGGATGAAACTACAACAATGTGTAGATGCAGGCGAGACATTCGGAAGAAGCGTCCTTGAAAATAAGAGCCATCAATTGGTGGAATAGATGAATGTATGGGGTGATTTTTTCCCTTTTTCTGGAGGTTTTTAAACAGTCTAGATCAGGGGTCCCCAAACTTGGCAACTTTAAGACTTGTGGACTTCCAACTCCCAGAATTCTCCAGCCAGCATAGCTCAATTCTGGGAGTCCACAAGTCTTAAAGTTGCCAAGTTTGGGGACCTCTGGTCTAGATATTCATCTATTGGGGAATGACAGTAAATCCTGTAATATGCAGGAGGTTGGACTTGATGACCTTATAGATCCCTTCCAACTCTCTGATTCTATTGTCTCCCAGAAAGCATTACCTTCAGTAATGCTGAAGGGCCAGCTTAATTTCTTTAGGAAAGCTGTTCCAGAGGAAGGAAGCATGTTTTCTGGGTTTCACGCTGGCTTTATGTAAATAAGAAGTAAATCTATAAAACCACTCCTTAATACTTATTTACATAGTAGAGTGGTGGATTTTTTTGGTCGGGAGTTGTTTTACATGCACTGTTTATTACTTTTCCGTCTGTTGACTTGCCTTTCCCCAAGTCCAGGTACTAGGCTGTGCCACGTCTCTTACAAGGAAGTATTCATTTAATTTTTTCATTTGGTTTATTGTATGAGTGCAAAGTTCGTAAAAAAATCAATATGACGTTTGGGTAGCAAGATTGCTAAACTTTAACTCCTTAACCAAATTTTGGGGGAAATGTTCAGAAGACAAAGTCTTACATATGGGTCCTTTAAGTCACCGTCTTTCCTTAATTTGGCTGAGGATGTCCCAATTAAATCCATCCCCCATAATCAACCAAAGGGACTATCACTAAACTTTGAAATCTCTGACTTGGTAAACTGGAACCTTAAAACAATAAACTAAGAATTACCATATTTTTCGGAGTATAAGACACACCGATTTCCCTCAAAAAAGAGGGCGAAAATCTGGGTGCGTCTTACACACTGAATACAGCATTTTTGGCCTCCCGAAACCCCATCCCCTTTACAAAAATGACCATGCATAGCCTTTAGGAGGCTTCCAGAGTGCTCCTGGGAGCTGGGGAGGGCAAAAATGAGTGAAAAAATGGGCCGGTTTTTGCTCATTTCCCCCCGCCCCAAGCACTGTATAAGCCTCCTAAAGGCTATGCATGCCCCCCCCTTTTTTGACAAAAAATGGGCCTGTTTTCGTGAAAAACTGGCTGTTTTTGGGAGTCTACAGAGTGCAAAAACTTTTTTTAAAAATGTCTTCTTCAAAATCTTGGTGCATCTTATACTCTGGTGTGTCTTATACTCTGAAAAATACGGTAGTTATATATTAGTTATATTGTAACTGATTTTTCTCCTTCCATGAAGAGCATCATGTGATGCATTTGATTGCTAAGGAACCACTCTGCAACTCTCTCTCAACTTTGGCCTGAAAGAAAGCTAATTTATGGAACATTTTTCCATAATCACACGACCTGTGCCTGTGTGTGCATGCGCGCACACCAACACACCCAGGTCTTTCATGTAAGTCAGCCTGCCAGAATAGCAATAAGCTATCCTAACCCCTGGTTGTCATGTCTGGCTAATAGATTGGTCAAAGGGCAAATATTTTGATGGCACTAAATAGCTGGTGAACAGCGTTCTCATTTACTGTCCTAAAATACAAGAATCTCTTAGCAGAATTTACCAATCTAGATGAATTTTGGTCTAGATGGGTATAGAAAACAGATCCTCCTGCAGGTTAAGACTGTTTAAAGCTTGGGGGGATATTCCCTGTACATGAAGAGTTGCAAAGCACGATCCAAGGGCTTGCTGTTATGACAGCCCTGGATTGAAGAAACGGAATAAGGAAGGCGAAAAGGCATAGAGATTTGATTTGTGGGGTGATGCAAATGGTAAAACCGATGAAGAATATTGGATTAGTCACTGGTTCATAAAATAATCATAATGTTGATTTGGAGGGAAGGAAGCTCTCCCTAAACTCCAACTCTCATCTGTCCCAAAGATGCTATTTTTAAGAGGCAACTGGATTTCCTTGTTGTTTTTTTCTTTGAAGAAGTTTTGCTTCTCATCCAAGAAGCTTCTTCAGCTCTTCAAACGTTTTCCAAGAAAAACTAAGAAAGTCCAGTTGCCTCTTGGAAAAAAAAGCACCTTCGGGACAACTGTGATCTGGATGACAGAGAATCTCCATAGACTCTTAAGAATTCTCAACTTTGTGACTAAGTGGAGATGAAGTAGGATGGATTCCTCTTTTTACCTCGCTTGGGGAGCTGGTTATTTTATGAACCAGTGACTAATTCAATATTCTTCACCGGTTTTACCATTTGCATCGAGCCTTGCTAGGTGGCTCAGTGGCTAAGGCTGAGTTTGCCAATCAGAAAGATCAGCGGTTCAAATCCCTAGTATAGGTCTCCTGGGTTGGACTAGATGACCTCCAAGGTCCCTTCCAACTCTGTTATTGTTAAGATCCAAGCCTGTCATAACAGCGAGCCCTTGGATCGTGCTTTGCTCTTTACCTCAACCCTTAAAGACCTTGGCAGCACTTCACGTTCAGGGACTATCCTCACCCGCCCCCCACAAAAAGCTTTAAACAGCCTTAATCTGCAGTAGGATCTGTTTTGGGGAACCGAAAGTGTGGCTATCCCTCTCGCTCGCTCGGCCCTTCCACCGCCTCCCACCGTCCAGCACAAAAGCGGGCGGAAAACAAACACCACACCTCCGGCTACCGCATTCTCTTCCTCCACGTGCTTTGTCCGCCCTAAAGCCTTGCCTTTAGCCTTCTGGTCAGGAAGCCAATCATGGCAGGTCTTGCGGGATTCCAGCCAATGGGCGCCCCCGAGGGGAGGGCGTGTGCCTTGGAGCCGCTTGTATTGGGCATCCGGGCGCGGCGGCCGGCTAAGCGGCGGCCGGCTTCGCAGGTGAGTGCGGTGGGTACGGGCGATGGGGGGGGGGGAATTGTCTGTCTCTCCTTCATATATGACCCTGGAGTCATGATTGCCGCTTGTCTTTTACCTTCTTGCGGTGAGCAGCGACGTCCCGAAGCAGCGGAGATAACAGATTTAAGAGAGTTGGAAGGGACCTCGTAAGCTCATCTAGCACATCCCGCCGCCCAAGCAGGAGAGCCTGCACCATTTCTGACAGAGGGCAGTCCCGTCCCTTCTTGAAAGCTTCCAGTGATGCAGCTCCCACAACTTCCGAAGGCAACTTCTGTTCCATTGGTTGATTGCTCTCACAGTCAGGAAATTGCTCCTTGAAAAATCTCCTTGATTAGTTTCCATCCATTATTCCTTGACTGACCTTCGGGTGCTTTGGAAAATAGCTTGACCCCCTCCTCTCTGTGGCAGCCCCGCTTCAAATAGATCTTTTCCTCTGTCTGCTAATGTGCTTCTTCCAGGTATCTATTTCTGTCTGCTGTTTCCCTCTTCTCACTACATTTTCTTCCTCTGTTTTCTGTCTTCCCCTTTAAATTTTTTTATTTTTTAATTCAGAAGAGCAAAAAGTGCTTTTCTTTCCTGTTTCACTATTCCTGATATAAAGGATAGACGGAGGGAACTTATCCCAGTAGAGGTAGCCCCCAATTTACAAGAGTTCATTTAGTGACCAAAGTGATCAGGAGCTAGTGCCCAGCTATGCTTGTTGACATCATAATTTTCCCATGGGGAGCTGAGAAGACTTTTAACTATTCTCAGAGATCTTGTAGGAAATGTCTCTTGTGACCTGAAGATCCATCTGGGTGGATTTACGGTAGGCAGAAAACAGAAATAATGGAATTGGAAGTCTTCTAGTCCAGTGTTTTTCAACCTTTTTTGTGCAAAGGCACACTTTTTTCATGAAAAAAATCACGAGGCACACCACCATTAGAAAATGTTAAAAAATTTTAACTCTGTGCCTATATTGACTATATATAAAGTAATTTTCCCACATTTACACTATGTCAC